GTGGTATCCTCCTATAGGGTTCTCTGAATGGTTTTTCATCTGTGAGATGTATCTCGTGTTCTACTAGAGTGGTAAAACCTAAGTCTGTTGGACCAGTCGAAAATACAGACTTCCAATTGCAGATAAGGCTTTCCAACTTACCTTTCATTTTTGGTGTCAACTCTGTCAACTCCACTCCTATCTTTTCTAGTATTTTACCTTTATCTTGTTCATCACATTTCTTTAATGAATCTGTTTTTTTATCTGAACTATCTAAATCAGCATGATGTACAATCTTTACCTCATTTAATCCACAAATAACACTCCTAGGTTTGAGGTATATTACCTTTGCTGTCATATTAAATATCCTAACTGGTATCCTGCTTTTACCAGAAGGCTTGAGGCTTACTACCCTAGGACATATCCCTAAACTACCTTGATTATCATCAACACACTCTGTAACTGCTGTCTGTATACTAGACTTAGTCTTACATAAACCTGTAACAGTCATGATAGACATTGGACTTACCTTAATAGGTCGTCTATTTGTTGACTTTACAAGACTTGTAATACTAGCGTGCATAGCTGAAAATGCTGTATCCCATTCATGTGGTATATTTACCTGAGAGTCACAAGTTAATGTGGACTTTAGAGGTCTTAATACGTTTGTACCAATTATAACAGGAACAGATCTGTTATAATCTGTTTCAGGTACAACCAATAAAGGGACCATCATGGATTCAGTATGAAAAGGTACCTTTATATTCACCTCAACATATCCACGGTATGGTAACTGGGAACCTTCAGCGATTCGTACTGATAATATAAACTCATCTAAAGTTTTTACTGTCGGGACTGGATGTAAAGATCCCAATGTAGGTTCACTAATAGTAGAAACCATAGATCCACTATCTATCAAAGACTTACATTTTTTTCCATTTACATATACATGTGTTTCATTTGACTTTCCAACCATCCTATCTAATAATGTAGCTCTAGGCTTACTTACCGTATCATTTTTAGATTTAGCTAATGTGGGACCATGTTTTATCTCAACAAGTTTAGAATCCCGAATTCGTCCCTCATTGGAGATTCCTACTAGTTTAAATTATCTTCAGTATACTGCAATGCATGTCCAGACTCTTTTTGATAAGTACCCCGGTTACTACCCCGATCATTCTGATATCTATTACCTCGGCCATATCGCCGCGAATTATTTCCGCGTCTATTACCACGAGAATACCCAGTGTTAGACTGGTTATTACCTGTAGTACTTGGTGCTTCCTCTGGTGTCTTACTTTCTAGGGTATCCAACCTTTTACCCATACGTTCTATCTTTTTCAAGATATCATCAAGTTTGACTGAATCTGACGAAATAGGCTGATGCTGAACAATGCTAGTAGCCTTTTCTGAATTTAACAATTCAAGCTCAATAGCCCTGATTTCTTTCCTTAATTGATCAAAATCCTTAACAGTGTCAAATTTATACCTACTTGAATTTTTAAGCAGTGGATCTCTAATTCCGGACCAAAATTTAGAACGAAGCATTTCATTCTTTGTATCAAAACTAATGTGACCTTTCTCAACAGCAGGCTGAATAATAGACTCCAAAGTCATACCAAAATCAGCTACTGTTTGATTTTGTTGTTGGGTCTCCTTATAAAAGTTCTCAGGTAAGGCTTCGCTAGTATAAACATTTCCATACACACCATCTAACTTATCAAGTATCTGCTGAGGAGAGGCATGTTCGGATAAAGACAACAACAGGCTTCGTGCCTTACCCTTTAGTGACCCTCTAACAGACTGTAATATAACTGAATCAGAATAATTTCCTTCTCGTAAAACACACTTAACCTCAAACTTCCAAACATCAAACGTCGCTTCACTTTTAGCTTCACCAGAAAAAAATGGGAATCTCGGCCTCTGATATGCACTATAACTACTCGACATATTTCCAAAACCTTGGATCCCACCAGTATGTAAGAAACTAGAACCTCTTATGGGTGTAGGGGGAGGGGGCCTTGGTGGTACACCTTCAATTTTCACCTTTGGGGTACTTTGTCTATGTTCATGACCCTCTATAACTTTATAATCTGTATGTGTATGTAAGAACTTAATCATTTTATCTATGTCTGCTTTTGACACATTTTCGACTAATTCGTCCTCCTCGGAGGGTTTATTACTAGCCATTATGTTTAATAAATGCTCAAACTGGGTTGACTGTGTCTGAGTAAAATCTTCAGTTCTATACAAGAACAAGGTAACAGTACTTGGACAATACAAACATATATACAAATACAAGCACAAGACAAACGGTAATAATGAAAACGATGAAATGAGCATGAATAATGACTACTCACCTTTCACGTGTCAAAGGTCAAAGTGCAAAATAGTATGATACAGAATCGTGCAGGGTTCTAGATTTGCTATTGAAGTGCTGTGTTACTATTGGGATATACTGAAAAATATGTTAAAAGAGTTAATGATATATAAACATATTCATTAATTTCAATACATAAACAATATCAAATATTTAAAAACAAATTTACTGTTATTTTTTTGTTACGCTGTCTGAATAAAAGAAACACACTGTACGGCTTATCTTTATCTTGAACACGTGATATGTCAATTTCTAGTTGATCCTTATTAGTCGTAATCAATCCTACGGTTGAGTAGGTTCGTAGTAAAACGAAATAACAAATGAAGTTCACTTCATAACCAATACATAATATACGGATATACTGATAAGCACATCATATGTAGTATTCACAAACTTAGATGTTAGATTTATACATTTTCACATGAAACTAACATTGATTTCAAACTAATTGAAACAATTCACAAAACTTTCTATAAAGGTATGCGCTAAACACTTTAGAAATTAGACTTGCGTACCTTGTCACACAGAACACATTAAAAATATACTCTCCATTAGGCCGGCATATACATTTTTCTCTTCAAACGGTTTTCGTTGTTTTCGTTGTGAAACTGTGAATCTGTTAATTGACGGAATATGGAGAAGAACTGAGTTAAGTTGACAGGCTATAACCAAACATCTGTATTGTGCTGAATAAAAAACTGACAACTGTCCTCATAAACAACAATGGTACAGCATGAAGTAAGGATTGCTTTTTAAGATCTTGGTGGAACCTCCAAATTGTCACAGGGTAAATGGCCACTTGGTTCTTATTATTAGGGCGTTGATTATAGTGACGATAATAAAGTTGCAAACCATTTATTCACACTGAAAATACATAATTATAATAAACATTTATTTCAAATGTTAACTTGAAGTTTCCTTTTAATATGAACTGTGAATTGGATAGAAATACATGCATTAAAAGGCCTACAAAAGTAAATGTGCTTACCTGAAAATAGGGAAAAAGTTATATGTCCCATATGTAGCTCGTGCGTGCTAAAGTGTGAAACTCGCATTAGTACGAGTACACCATATATATAGTACTAGAAAAAGTGGCGGGGTTGCATGCATTATAAATTCGTGCATAGTAGAACATAAACTAAAGTCTTTTTCTAACTGTCCGTCAATGAATGAATGAATGAATGAATGAATGAATGAATTAATGAATGAATGTATGAATGAATGCATAAATGATAGTAAATATAGTACACACAACATATAGTATAGTACTAGTATATAGCTGTACTCTTTTGATAAATAGCTACGGTGACACTTTTATCACAAAATAATTACCATGTAATGTAAAATGCAATTAACATGATTAAAATACCTAAAATGACCCAAAATAATTCAAAATTCACAGATTTTCAACAAGTAACTCAAGATGCATAAACTTTTCAAGTTTAAGTTTGAGTCAGAATAAAGGGTTCTTTTGTACTCGAACAATATAACATTAACAATAGACTGACCTAAACTTTGGACAAAGTAAATGGCATGAAGCCAAATTTATCAACTATTGTTTGACCTTTCAATTCTCAAGGCTACATATCTATTTTCTAGGCCAATATGCCAACTTAAATGGCAACATGGAATTGCAATTTGACTGGTAATGATCTTTTAAAAATAGCCATAGACATTCTACTGATTACATATTTCATTAAAATTTTAAAAAGTTTGTTTGTCACCAAAAAATCAAGACTTTTTTATTACTCTTCCTATCATTATTCAATGAAAGAATTGAAGGAAGTGCAGTTTTTCATCAATGGTTAAAAATAGAATAATAATAAAAGGATGGAGAGAATAATATTGGTCAAAATATTAAGTCCTTTTGGGTTCTGCAATTTATGTTGTTATTTTTTATATTTGACACAAAATTGTTACATGCAATTGCCAATTTTCGTTCTTTTTTGGGTAAAAAATTATTTGCAGGCCAAGACCCTGGATTGATATTATAGGAATATTTTATATTTTATAATTAAATGTAATATTTGAAACAATTTGCTATTAATATTAAATTCTCATACTCGCACAGTAAAGTGCTTGCTTAAAATGTCACACTTTTTATGACAATCAAACCTTGACATATGACATCTTGCTTACTATATGGTATGGAGTGTGCTCTTTGTTGAAGGCCATACAGTGACCTATAGTTGTTAGCTTCTACGTTATTTGGTCTCTGGTGGCAAGTTGTCTCATTGTGATCATACCACATCTTCTTATTTCTATATAACTTTATTTATTTTTGTCAATACATGTCAAGTTTAATCTTTTTTAACTCAAGGTTGTAGAAGGTATAAATATGTAAATATATTTTTCTTTAAAATGTTTCTATATTTGTTCTTGACTGATTGATACTACATACAGAATAGGGTATTGACACCAAGAAATGTGAAGTTTTCCATTACTGAACTTTGCCCATAATGTAAGCCACAAAGAATTCACAAATGACACATAAATATATAATATGCATATGTAGTTAATATGAAACAATAGGAAATGATCACACTTGTGTTGTATTTTCAAAGTTTTACCCATGGTGTAATGTATATGAATATATTGCATTTAACAATGTAAAAGAAGTAAAGAAAGGTTTTTTTTTCAGATGTACACTACCAGAAGACGTTTGAGTCTGTGTTTAACCGTATTGAAGAAATATTGGTGCCCTTACAGTTTACATGGTTTACCAGTAGACAGTGTAGTAGTGCTATATTTGATGCACTCACCCATACAGAGGAGGGATTTAAAAGAGCCCACAACAGAGTAAGATAAATAGGGGAGATAACCAGTATAATGTCATATTTCATTATAGCCATTTCCAGAAACTCATTTCCAGAACGTGAATTTCTCTCTAAAATTATAAATTGAAGCAGGTTATTTCCCTTGTCAGACAGAAGTACTGCTTCATGTAAATGACGCTCAATGAGAAGTCAGCGATTGGTGATTTTAATCCCATTTAATTTAATGATAATATTTGGTTTATATAAATATAGAAATTATTAATGGTATTTTGCCTTCCAACATACTTGTAATCAAACTTGATTATCCAGCTGGAAGTGTTTGTAAATTTAAGTAACACAATGTTTTTAGCTCACCTGGCCATGGCTAAAAATAGAACATAGGGGTAAAATGCAGTTTTTGGCTTATATCTCTGAAACTAAAGCATTTATAGTAAATCTGACAATGGGTAAAAATGTTCATCAGGTTAAGATCTATCTGCCATGGAATAATCAGATAACCCGTTGTTGGGTTGCTGCCCCTGAATTAGTCATTTTAAGGAAATTTTGCAGTTTTTGGTTACTTTCTCTAATATTATTATAGATAGAGATAAACTGTAAACAGCAATAATGTTCAGCAAAGTAAGGTCTACAAATAAGTCAACAAGACCAAAATTGTCAATTGACGTCTTAAGGAGTTATCGCCCTTTAAAGTCAATTTTTACATTTTTTCCTAAATTTTTGTAATCTTTTACAAAAATCTTCTCTGAAACTACTGAGACAAATTTAACCAAACTTGGGGACAATCATCATTAGGGTATCTATTTTAAAAAATGTGTCCAATGACCCGGCCTGTCAAACAAACATGGCCGACATGGCTAAAAATAGAACATAGGGGTAAAATGCAGTTTCTGGCTTATATGTCTGAAACTTAAGCATTTAGAGAAAATCTGACAATGGGTAAAAATGTTCATCAGGTTGAGATCTAACTGCCCTGAAATTTTCAGACGAATCAGACAATCCATTGTGAGTTGCTGCCCCTGAATTGTTAATTTTAAGGAAATTTTGCAGTTTTTGGTTATTATCTTGAATATTATTATAGATAGAGATAAACTGTAAACAGCAATAATGTTCAGCAAAGTAAGGTCTAAAAATAAGTCAACATGACCAAAATTGTCAATTGACCTTTTAAGGAGTTATTGCCCTTTAAAGTAAATTTTTAACAATATTTCGTAAATTTTTGTTATCTTTTACAAAAACCTTCTCCTCTGAAACTACTGAGAACTTGGCCACAATCATCATTAGCGTATTTAGTTTAAAAAATGTGTCTGATGACCCTGCCTGCCAACCAAAATGGCTGACATGGCTAAAAATAGAACATAGGGGTGAAATGCAGTTTTTGGCTTATATCTCTGAAACTAAAGCAAAAGTATAATGGTTGCATCAATTGTAAACAAAAATATCAGGTGAGCGACACAGGCTCCTTGGAGCCTCTAGTTTATTTTCTTCTCACCAGTTTTCTATTTACTTCTCACCATTGCTCTGCAGTGCAGCGAACCAGTATTTAAAACAGTATACTTCCCTACCAGGAAAATAATTTGTGTTCAACTGAGTAAGATTTAAGTCTGATTCAGGCTTTCAAAAGTGTTTTCCAAGAAAGTTCTATACATATTTCTTGGACAGTCTAAAGAGTCCTCTTGTGTAATGATTGGCTTGGGGGAAATACATTTTTCTTACCTTGTGATTGCCATATTATGATAGTTATGTAATTGGGGTTAAAGTTATCAGACAAATCAGAAAACTGAAGCTAATGTTATATTTTGTACGCCTGTTTACGGGACGTATTATGATATACTGTTGTCCGTCTGTCCATCCGATGTCAACATTTTGGACAATAACTCAAAAACGCTTAAACCAATTTGCATTAAACTTAGGTAAATTGTTTATATCTATTGACGTGAGCTCCCTTTCGATTTTTATAAATTTTAGATTTTATGTTTCCCAGTTATGGGGTTTTATTCATTAAAAAGGGGGATTTTCCAGTTTTCGAACAATAACTCAAAAATGCTTTGAGCTTTTTTCCTGAAACTTTAATGAATTGTTTATATCTATTGATGTAAGCTCCCTTTCCATTTTTATAAATTTTAGATTTTACATTTCCGAGATGAGATTTTATTCATAAAAAAGGGGGGATTTTCCAGTTTTCTGACAATAACTCAAAAGTGCTTTGAGCAGTTTTCGTGAAACTTTGGTGACTGTTTTATATCTATTAATATACCTTCCCTTTAGTTTTTGTCTCACCTTGACGGTGTCAAAAAGCGAGGCATAGGTATGCTGTTTCCGGCGTCGGCGGCTACGGCGGAGGGGTCAACAATGTATTAGTTTGTGATTAGGTCTAGTTCATGGTGAACCACTAGTGGTAGGTCAATGATATTTGATATGCAGTTGTATTAGCATTGGCACATCTCATTACCATGGAGATTATTTGGCAGCGCCCCCTCAGTCAAGGTCTATTGACTTTGAAACTTTGCTTAGTTTACATGTATTAGTTTGTGTTTAGGTCAGTTTATGGGGAACCACTAGTGGTAGGTCAATGATATTTGGTATGCAGTTGTATAAGCATTGGCATATCTCATTTCCATGGAGATTATTTGGCCCCTCCCCCTCATTCATGGTCTATTGACTTTGAAACTTTTGCTTAGTTTTCATGTATTAGATTGTGATTAGGTCAGTTTAAGGGGAACCGTTAGTGGTAGGTCAATTATAATTGGTATGCAGTTGTATAAGCAATAGCACATCTCATTTCCATGGAGAATATTTGGTCCCTACCCCTGTGTCATGGTCTATTGACTTTGAAACTTTTGCTTAGTTTACATGTATTAGTTTGTGATTAGTTCAGTTTAAGATGAACCACTAATGTTAAGTCAATGATATTCGATATGCAAATGTATTGGCATTTGCAAGTTTCATTTCCATGGAGATTATATAACCCCAGCCCCTAATTATGGTTCATTGACTTTGAAACTTTTACATAGTTTACAAGTTAATGTTTGTGTTTAGGTTTGTTTAAAAAGGAACGACTTATGAAAAGTCAATGGTATTTGGTTTGCAGTTGTATTAGCATTGGCACATCTCATTTCCATGGAGATTGTTTAGCCCTGTACCTTCAGTCATGGTTCATTGACTTTGAATATTTGCATTACTTACATGTTAAAGTATTGCTATTTTAATTTCAACATTTGCATTATCAAAATAACAAATAGGCTAGACATATCTCTGTGTTAACAGTTTATTTTTATAAATTTCTGATATGACATTGAGGAGTTATGGAACTTTATTCTTTGAAAAAGCGACGGTCATATCATGCGCTCATGGCGCAGCTCTTTATTACCGATTGGTTCATTTTAAACACTAACACCAACTGCACAAATTGGTAAAAAATTATCATATATTGCTAAAACAAAGCTTCAAGAAATGATAGATGATACAAAAGTAGAAGATGACTTAACAAAAAAAATTATAGTAAACAGTAATGAAAACAGAACAATAATTTATGTGAGAGATTATTTTTTCACAGTTCAAAAGATATAAACAAGAATTTACATCAGAAATTGATCCCTTACAGTCAGAAAGATACATGTAGAACAAATCATTACACGACTTTTATCTTTTACAGTTAGAAAGATAAAAATGACTTGAAATGAAAAGATTATCTTTCAGAGTCCAAAAGAGAGAAGGAGATACTGCATAATAGAGATTTTTATATTTATATTTTACAGTTAGAACGACAGTATATAAAGGCTTTACATGAGAGATTTATATCTACCAGTTTAGTAAATGCTGTAAAGGTACGATTGTTTTTGATACTACCATGGATTAAATTATTTTTCATGAGAACCAATTTTCATGTTTGTGAAAAAGTTTTTATTTTTCAGGTGTCCAACTTCTGTCAAAGAATTCAGAAATCTGATTTGGTTGAATATTTTTATATATAAAATATTGAAGTTTCTCTAACATGGAATTCCACTTAAATTGGTATCACACTAATATTTATAAAAGTAGTTACAGTTTCGTGAAAATATTTGTTATTTCCCCTCCTGAAAAGTTATTAATTTATTCATTATCTATGCTACAACAAAGAAAATTTTGTAATTTACCGAATATTTTATTTTAATGCAAATGTATTTGTGCAATTTCTTATAGTGAATATGTTATTGTACAAAACTATGAGATACAAGTTATGTAGTTCCAAAAAATGTGAAAAAAAAATACCGAACTCCACGGTAAATTTAAAAAGGGGATAGTCCATAAAACCTGTCAAAACCAAACACTCAACTATAAAAGACTCGAAAACAACTGCCATATTCCTAACTTGGTACAGGTATTTTTCAAAGAAATAGTGTGTTAAACATTGGTTTTACAGCTAGCTAAATATACACTTTGTATTAACAGAACTACTACAAAAAGTCAAAATGTGAATTTTTACAAATGCTTTGCTTATCCTGTCACATTTTTCCAAAATTCCAAAAAAATAAGAATGGTTTCTTAACATAAGTATTCTTTTTATTTTTTTTTTTATCAAAACAGGATATAGCCTTTTGCCCATTTGTTATTAAAAAAAAATAAAGGAATAATATAGTGTCAGTTCATATTCAGTGACAAAGGTCCACACTATAATGAGATGACCTTGACTTTCATTTTCATATGAACATAATGAGCTGTTGAATATAAATAAATAAGACAGCAACCCAGTAACATAACATAAATAATCTAAACAGAGACTATCGAAGGACTGCCATCAACACTAAATTCTCCAAACAACTAAGCACATGACATAAGATAAGGTTCCTGACTTGGGACAGTTTAAACAAGTTTTTTGAGATCTCAAGTCTTCCACTTTTTTATACGACCACAAAAAAATTTTGCGGTCTTATATTGGTATGACGTTGGCTTCGTCGTCGTCATCGTCATCGTCCGAAGACACATTGGTTTTCGCACTCTAACTTTAGTTTAAGTGAATGGATCTCTATGAAATTTTACCATAAGGTTCAATACCACAAAAGGAAGGTTGGGATTGATTTTGGGGGTTATGGTACCAACAGTTAAGGAATAAGGGGCCAAAAATAAGCATTTTTGTAACTTCCAGACATAACTTGTGTGTTAGTGTATGGATCTCTCTGACATTGTACCACAAGGTTCCATATCACAAAGGGAATGCTGGGATTGATTTTGGGGGTAATTGCCTCAAAATTTTAGGAATTAGGGGCCAAAAAAGGGGCAAAAAACAAGCATTTTTCTAGTTTCATGACAATAACTTGTGTGTAAGTGTATGGATCTTTCTGAAATTGTACTACAAGGTTCCATATCATAAAGGGAAAGCTGGAATTGAGTTTGGGGGTAATTGCCCAAAATGTTTAGGAATAAGGGGCCAAAAATAAGCATTTTTCTAGTTATCAGACAATAACTTGTGTTCAAGTGTATGGATCTCTCTGAAATTGTACTGCAAGGTACCATACCACAATGGGAAGGCTTGGATTGATTTTGGGGGTAATTGCCTCAAAAGTTTAGGAATTAGGGACCAAAAAGGGGCAAATAACAAGCATTTTTCTAGTTTCAGGACAATAACTTGTGTGTAAGTGTATGGATCTTTATGAAATTGTACTACTAGATTCCATATCACAAAGGGAAAGCTGGGTTTGAGTTTGGGGGTAATTGCCCTAAACGTTTAGGAATTTGGGGCCAAAAAGGGGCCTAAAAACAAGCATTTTTCTAGTTTCCAGACAATAACTTGTGTTCAAGTGTATGGATCTCTCTCAAATTGTACTGCAAGGTACCATACCACAAAGAGAAGGCTGGGATTGAGTTTGGGGGTGATGAATCATAAGGGGGTTCAAAAAATTTGGGAGAGGGAATTTTTTTTCCTATTTTTCCTTTTTTTTTCTTTAAAATTTTCCATTTTAAATTGGTTATTTCTGATTTATATATAAAAGCAAATAATAATGATATGGTTTGAATAGGTAAATTAAAAATTTTTAAGTTCTTAGACCACATTCATTCTGTGTCAGAAACCTATGCTGTGTCCAAATTCAGTGCTGTATCAAGCTTGAATGTTGTGTCCATACTTGCCCCAACTGTTCAGGGTCTGCGGTCGTATCAAGCTGCGCCCAGCGGAGCATTTTATTTTATGTCTATCAGTGTACTAACAGAGGGTTCATAATAGAACATACAATAAACATAAGTATAGGAAAAGCACTTAATGTAAAAAAAAAGGAGATGTGGTAGGATTGCCAATGAGACTACTCTCTACCAGAGACCAAATGACATAGAAGTTAACAACTATAGGTCACCATACAGCCTTCAACAATGAGCAAAACCCATGTCGCATGACAAGCTATAAAAGGCCCCGAAATGACAAGGTAAAACAACTCAAATGAGAAAACTAACGGCCTGATTTATGTACTAAACAATGAAAGAAAAACAATTATGATATATAGCAACAAACGACAACTACTGACTTGGGACAGCCACATACAGAATGTGACGGGGTTAGACATGTTTGCTGGTGCCAAATCCTCCCCCTAACATGGGACAGTGGTGTAATAGTACAACATTCAGAGAAACTATGAAAAATCAGTTGAAAAGGGCTCAACTCATCAGATCAATACAAAGCACATAAAAACCCTAAAAAAGGCATAAAGTAAAGATCTGAGAGTACTGGCAGTTACTGAAAGCTAGTTCAAAGCAAATAACAACTAACAAAAAATCACATGTCTAACACTAAAACACTATAATAAATGTATAACAGATAAAAAAAAACACAGTCACAAACAACATACTAAAAAACCAAAAGAAATATCTTAAAGAAATTAGCCTGCCGAATCCTAATCGTGACGTTCTACTCTCTAACATTGATGGTTGTACTTCAGAGTAAATTTCAGATAGCAACATCATTAATCGTACAAGAGACATCCTTGTGCAATGCCAACTACAAATCTTACCAAAGTTCAATGCAGAAATATGAATAGAAATTTTAGACCTTATTCAAACTATAAATTAGCAAATTGATATTCGTCCCAAAAAATACCAGATGCAATAATATAATAACAACAGTATGATTTTGTTTTCTCCATCAATAAATTTTTTAGTTCAGATCTAAGTGAATATTAATTACACAAGAATGATCTTTTGACAGATATAGGTTCACACTAAAGTTATGAGATTTTGACCTCAATTAAATACAATAAATGAAATATCTGAATATTATATAATGAAATATATATGGTGATTAGTTGTGGATGTGCTGCAGTTCCAATTCTTTATAGTTATAATTATTGTTATGTTCATTTGTTTACTCTCTTTGCAGGAAGTGAATGCTAATAGTGATAATTTAAATGATGCCCAGAAAAGATTAGTAGACTTTTATTTATATAATTTCAAAATAAGTGGATTTTTGATGTCAACTAACGACAGAAGAAAATATTATGATAAAGTTAGTAGGAGGAACACACATACTCATAATTTTGCGTAAGTAAAAAAAAAATAACAAGGTGTTAGCCTAATGGGATTTGTGTTGCAGCTCAATCTAATTGAAATGCAGATCTTGTGTCCTTGCCTCGCTTACAAGGATCTGACAACACACTTTTCTACTTTCTGTATTGTTAATTATTACATCAGCCAATGAAATTCCATCCTTCAAATTTTTAAAGGTGTGTACTATTACAACAAAACTAGAAGATCCTGAAAGTTCTTTAAAACAGAAAGTAGAACAGAGAGTTGTCAGATCTTTGTTAAGGGAGCATAGAAACAGGCTCTGTATTTCAATTAGATCGTGTTACAGAATAAAATATAATATATAAGATTCAATTTGCAAAAAATTGTCAGTCTGTTATGCACCTTCTTATTCTATTTTTGGGTCAGTATAATATGTTTATTTTTCTAAATACCAAAATGAAAATATATTGGATTCTTTGATTTATATTGAAAAAGAGCAGTAGTTTGTATTTTTAAGGTCTTCTCACAGTACATTTCACACAACATAGCCCATGTGTGCTTCAATTTTACTGTCATGACAAAAAATTAATAATTTGTTGAATAATATATAGATGAGATGTGGCTGAGAAACATCCTTAAGTTTGAAAGATCATTGATAATCTGTTTATTGCTATTTTGCCTATGACGTTGTTGATGTTGATGTTTACATTGACAACGTCATGTGCGCCCTTAGTTTCTGACGATAATTTTCTATTTCAAGCAAGTAGCATGATATGAAAAATTATACCAAAAAAAAACATCAAATGAAAACTACACAAAATAGCGATAATTGGTTTTATCGAACTGATGAAGACAAAATACTTATAAAAATGTATTGTCGGACATAAAAAGGCTTTAATTATTTTGATATTACATCCAATTATTCAAAAGCTGTGACTTAACTTTTTAGAACGACAATTCAACATTTATTTTGTTTTAAGCCCATTTCTATTCTCTTTTGCTATTATGTTGAATATGGACTACCTCCACAGTCACTCTTTGGTGCTACATTTTTGTCTCACCTTGACGGAGTCAAAAAGCGAGACATAGGTATGCTGTTTCTTGCGGCGGCGTCAACATATTAGTTTGTGATTAGGTCTAGTTTATGGTGAACCACTAGTGGTAGGTCAATGATATTTGGTATGCAGTTGTATTAGCATTGGCAAATCTTATTTCCATGGAGATTATTTGGTCCTGTCCCCTCAGTCATGGTCTATCGACTTTGAAACTTTTGCTTAGTTTTCATGTATTAGTTTGTGATAAGGTCAGTTTATGGGGAACCACTAGTGGTAGGTCAATGATATTTGGCATGCAGTTGTATAAACATTGGCACATCTGATTTGCATGGAGATTATTTGGCCCCGCCCTCTCAGTCATGGTCTATTGACTTTGAAACTTTGGCTAAGTTTACTTGTATTAGTTTGTGATTAGGTCAGTTTAAGGGGAACCATTAGTGGTAGGCCAATGTTAATTGGTATGCAGTTGAATAAGCATTAGCACATCTCATTTCCATGTAGAATATTTGGTCCCGCCCCCTCAGTCATGGTCTATTGACTTTGAAACTTTTGCTTAGTTTACATGTATTAGTTTGCAAATAGATCAGTTTAAGATGAACTGCTAATTTTAAGTCAGTGATATTTGGTTTGCAAATCTTGTTTCCATGGAGATTATATAGCCCCACCCCATCATCATGGTTCATTGACCTGGAAACTTTTACATAGTTTACAAGTTAATGTTTGTGTTTAGGTTTGTTTGAAGGGAATGACTTTGATGGAAATGAGATTGTTTAGCCCTGTACCTTCAGTCATGGTTCATTGACTTTGAATATTTGCATAACTTACATGTTAAAGTATTGCTATTTTAATTTCAACATTTGCATTATCAAAATTACAAGAAAGGCGAGACATATCTCTGTGTTAACTTATATTTATTTCAAGTAGTTCACTTAAATTGACCAGAAAGGTGAAAATAAAAACAATAAATTGGTGTGTGCACTCTTAGTTTCAAGATTTACTCTCATTTTAACATCACAGTACCCTTTTTGTAAATTTTTCCCTTCTTACATGAATGTCAAATTTAAGAACTTGCAAGTCTTTGTCCAATTCAGCAAAGTGTTAATTTTCAAATTTAAATCATCTGCTTATTTTGTAGCTCACCTAGCCCAAAGGGCCAAGTGAGCTTTTCTCATCATTTGGTGTCCGTCGTCTTTAAATTTTACAAAAGTCTTCTCTGAAACTACTGGGCCAAATTTAACCAAACTTGGCCACAATTATCGTTATGTGTCGTTTAAAAAATGTGTCCAATGACCTTGCCTGCAAACCAACATGGCCGACATGGCTTAAAATAGAACATAAGGGTAAAATATAATTTTTGTCTATTATCTTCAAAACTGGTAAAAATAGAGAATATCTGACAGGGGAGGGAAATGTTTAGACTGATGAGATCTATCTTATGTTTATTTACATAAATACTGTTCGACTACTTTTTGTAGGAGTTATTGCCATATTAAACGACAAATTTTACCCTTTTTTTAATTTTTTACGACCGCAAAAAAATTTTTGTGGTCGTATATTGGTATGACGTTGACGTCATCGTCGTCATCGTCGTCTTCGTCCGAAGACACATTAGTTTTCGCACTCTAACTTTAATTAAAGTGAATGGATCTCAATGAAATTTTATCATAAGGTTCAATACCACAAAAGGAAGGTGGGGATTGATTTTGGGGGTCATGGTACCAACAGTTAAGGAATTAGGGGCCAAAAATAAGCATTTTTGTAACTATCAGACATAACTTGTGTGTAAGTGTATGGATCTCTCTGACATTGTACCACAAGGTTCCATATCACAAAGGGAATGCTGGGATTGATTTTGGGGGTAATTGCCTCCAAATTTTAGGAATCAGGGGCCAGAAAGGGGCAAAAAACAAGCATTTTTCTAGTTTCATGACAATAACTTGTGTGTAAGTGTATGGATCTCTCTGACATTGTATCACAAGGTTCCATATCACAAAGGGAATGCTGGGATTGATTTTGGGGGTAATTGCCTCCAAATTTTAGGAATTAGGGGCCAAAAATGGGGCAAAAAACAAGCATTTTTCTAGTTTCATGACAATAACTTGTGTGTAAGTGTATGGATCTTTATGAAATTGTACTACAAGGTTTCATATCACAAAGGGAAAGCTGGAATTGAGTTTGGGGGTAATTGACCAAAAAGCTTAGGAAGAAGGGGCCCAAAAGGGGCTAAAAATAAGCATTTTTCTAGTTTCCAGACAATAACTTGTGTTCAAGTGTATGGATCTCTCTCTGAAATTGTAATGCAAGGTACCATACCTCAAAGGGGAGGCTGGGATTGATTTTGGGGGTAATTCCCTCAAAATTTTAGGAATTAGGCCATACCAATTTGATTTGTAGTTCTCGAACAAAAGCTCCAAAAGATATGGGGCGAGCGAGCGAAATTTTTTTAATTGTATTTTTTTCTTGAAAATGAGTTTTTATGAGGCGGGTGCTCTGCAAGTGAAGCGAGCGGTATAATTTTTTTTTTAAACTGTGCGATTTAGAATTTATGTTCATGCTAAAACTGGGTTACTTCAAAGAAAAAGGAGAAGAAACATGCTCTAATGCATATAATTTGATGAATTGGTGCATGAACCATACCCAACTTTCTTGTCTCGCTGTGGTTTAGTTAATTTCGATTATTTTCGTCAAATAAGCTTTGTCTGCGTGAATTTGCATTAAAATTCATGCATGTGTATATATTAAGGAAGCATTGCAGATGCAGTTTAACAAGAGGAATTATGTTAGTTAGGTAAATGACATATGTTGAATAAATTTAAATATGTGTATGTATCTAAAAAAATGCCCCTGGAAAATATTAAATATTTTTTATATATAGTTGTTTTCATTATATCAATATATGGTAATGATTGTTTATTGGCTGCTTGATGTCCACTTGGAACTATTTATCCATACCTTCTAATGATCAACATAATGAGTGAGGTGAATATTTCAACAACATTATGAGTAAGATAGTTATATTGTTATGCATGTAGATCTCAATGTATTAAAATATCCCCTTAAAATACGTATACCTGTCACCACATTCACATGCATTATTCTGACAGCAAAATACTCTTTCATTTTGCTCCTAAAGGCTGCAATGCATTTTAAACCCTTTAGCTTGACTAGAAGTGGTTGAACCAATTACACATCCCTAATTATTATGAGCATTCCAATCACAATACCACCTCTTTGGTCTCGAACGTTGGAACTGTTAAATTTTCCCTTACAAAAGAGTTCTGCTTGCATACCAATAGACTAACAAGGACATATGGCCATGGGGTTTCATCAAAATAAGATAAATCTGTGATTTTTTTCTAAAATTCATGGGAATTCAATATTATTTTCATCAAAGATAGATACGTCTATAAAATAACAAGCATTGTAGATAAATTTGTACATCATAGCAGCCAGTGTTGCAAAATTCCACGTAGCAAATCTGAACAACATAGAGTCAATATAAACAGTCATTCTTTGTAAGAACAATGTTTTATTGGAAAAGACTTCCAAACAATCTCATGTGTGCCAAGACAATTGATAGCTGTAAAACTTCGGTTGCTCTCACATCGTGGGACTAATTTTCCATCGCCTTTTTTTCCGTTGCCATAGATGCCATATCATGGCCTTGCAACGTACTTATTCAGATTCAGGTCTGTGTCTGTTGAAACAATGATTGGGGATGACGATGGTTCTAACGAACATTGATATAATCGTGCATGGTCATCTAAAGACAGATTTTTATACAACCGCAAAAATTTTTAGAATTAGGGGCCAAAAAGGGGCCAAAAATAAGCATTTTTGTAACTTCCAGACATAACTTGTGTGTTAGTGTATGGATCTCTCTGACATTGTACCACAAGGTTCCATATCACACAGGGAATGCTGGGATTGATTTTGGGGTTAATTGCCTCAAAATATTAGGAATTAGGGGCCAAAAAAGGGGCAAAAAACAAGCATTTTTCTAGTTTCATGACAATAACTTGTGTGTAAGTGTATGGATCTTTCTGAAATTGTACTACAAGGTTCCATATCACAAAGGGAAAGCTGGAATTGAGTTTGGGGGTAATTGCCCAAAACGTTAAGGGATAAGGGGCCAAAAATAAGCATTTTTCTAGTTTCCAGACAATAACTTGTGTTCAAGTGTATGGATCTCTCTGAAATTGTACTGCAAGGTACCATACCACAAAGGGAAGGCTGGGATTGAGTTTTGGGGTGATGAATCATAAGGGGGTTCAAAAAATTTGGGGGGGGGGGGTTTCCTTTTTTGTCTTTTTTTCCTTTTTTTTTCTTTTAAAATTTTCCATTTTATGTTGGTTATTTCTGTTTTATATTTAAAAGCAAATAATAATGATATGGTAGGAGATACACACCAAACAGGATGTGTAAATTATTATATAATAAGTATTGTGCAATAGCAAGAAATTTTCAATTGCACAGTATTGCACAATAGCAAGAAATCTTCAATTGCACAGGCCCCCAAGGGTGACTGGGGAATTGAAGTATGGTCACCATTGGTCTTCCTCCGACCGGCAGTAAAACCCGTGCTAAAGTGGGGCGTCCGTTTGGCTGTGCGGGATGTACAAATTTGCAGCCACGTCCGGTCAGAATGGGGACGTTAAATCCGATGCCTCGTGTAAAGAAAGTGCCACGTTCTTTGCACGTTAAGAACCCTTGCAACAACTCTTTGAGGGGTCTGTAGGTGACCTGTTGCAAGGCTAAATTTCTGTCCCTATCCAATATACCCTCATTTCCCGTGGCAGTCTAAATTTCTCCGACCTGAATCCCTTAATCTATTACAGAACCTACCTATTGTATTTATTGTGAACTTGTTCTCGTCCTGAATATGCATGAAATATTTGCCACTGGACGTTAAGCAACCAACAATCAATCAATCAATCAATTGCACAGTATTGCGCAATAGCAAGAAATCTTCAATTGCACAGTATTGTGCAATAGCAAGAAATATCCAATAGCACAATATTGCGCAATAGCAAGAAATTGTCAATTGTACAGCATTGCGCAATAGCAAGAAATATTCAATTGCACAGAATTGTGCAAAAGAAGATACTTTGTATAAATTGCTTATTTCTTGACCAATTTCAATGGGGTTTTATTCTTGAATTCTTGGGGTTCTTTAATATGCTGAATCTAAACATGTATTAAGATTTTTGATTATGGGCCCAGTTTTCAAGTTGGTCCAAATCGGGGTCCAAAATTAAACTTTGTTTGATTTCAACAAAAATTGAATATATGGGGTTCTTTGATATGCTGAATCTAACCATGTATTTAGATTTTTGATTTTTGGGCCCCATTATCAACTTTGTCCACATTGAGGTCAAAAGGGTCCAAAATTAAACTTTGTTTGATTTCATCAAAAATTGAATTCTTGGGGTTCTTTGATATGCTGAATCTAACCATGTATTTAGATTTTGGATATTGGACCATAATAGGTGAATGTCCAATTTAAAATTTTTTAGTTCTTAGACCACATTCATTCTGTGTCAGAAACCTATGCTGTGTCAAATATTTAATCACAATCCAAATTCAGAGCTGTATCAAGCTTGAATGTTGTGTCCATACTTGCCCCAACTGTTCAGGGTTTGACCTCTGCGGTCGTATCAAGCTGCGCCCTGTGGAGCATTTTATTAATATTTGTCTCCTAGAACAGGTCTTTATAGATTAAACGAAATGCATTTCGGATAACTGTGTGTTCAATAACTACCTCTCCACGGCAATGAGCTGACACAACTGCATGTTGGCATCCCGATTTTTTACCTTTTATTTGCAGTTTGATTTATCACACGTGTGTTTGAATCGATCGGAGCAGTAAAACGTCTATGTGAAAGAAAAAAATTCAAAGAGAAACTAAATTTGGAGCGGCATGCGGCCCAAAAATTTGCGGAAGCGGTAATTATTTTTTTTTATTGAAAAGTCAATTTCTCCAAAACAGGAGCGGGAAAATCCAAAGAACTATTAATCAAATTGGTGTGGCCTTAGGGGCCATAAAAGGACAAAAAAACAAGCATTTTTCTAGTTTCAGGACAATAACTTGTGTGTAAGTGTATGGATCTTTAAGAAATTGTACTGCAAGGTTCCATATCACAAAGGGAAAGCTGGGTTTGAGTTTGGGGGTAATTGCCCTAAACGTTTAGGAATTTGGGGCCAAAAAGGGGCCAAAAAACAAGCATTTTTCTAGTTTCCAGACAATAACTTGTGTTCAAGTGTATGGATCTCTCTGAAATTGTACTGCAAGGTACCATACCACAAAGGGAAGGCTGGGATTGAGTTTGAGGGTGATGAATCATAAGGAGGTTCAAAAAATTTGGGGGGGGGGATTTTTTTTTTCCTTTTTTTTCTTTAGAATTTTCCATTTTAAATTGGTTATTTCTGATTTATATATAAAAGCAAATAATAATGATATGGTTTGAATAGGTAAATTAAAAATTTTTAAGTTCTTAGACCACTTTCATTCTGTGTCCGAAACCTATGCTTTGTCAAATATTTAATTACAATCCAAATTCAGTGCTGTATCAAGCTTGAATGTTGTGTCCATACTTGCCCCAACTGTTCAGGGTTCGACCTCTGCGGTCGTATCAAGCTGCGCCCCAGCGGAGCATTTTATTATATATTATCTTGGAAATTATAATATGTATAACTTGAAATAGCAAAATTGATCAGCTAGACAAGATCTGGAAATAAGTCAACACAGCTGAAATCATCAGACAACTCTTTATTGGAGTTACTGCCGTAACATGATGATTTTTATCTTTTTTTTTTTGCATTTTCGCCTTATATCTGAAAAACTATGATAGATAGATAAAAACTTTAATTAGCAAAACTGATCAGCCAAACAAGATCAACAAATAAGTTTATTTTTTGAAATCGTCTGACGACCCCTTATTGGAGTTATTGCCCTTTAATGATGATTTTTTTTTTTTACCAATTTTTGTGCTTTTGCCTAATGTCTGAAAAAATATATTAGATAGAAACTTAAATTAGCAAAAATGATCAGCAAGACAAGATTTACAAATTTTGCCAAAGTCATTAGTAGACTCTTTATAGGAGTAATTGCTATTAAATGACAGTTTGTTTACCCTTTTTTTGTGTTTTGGGCAAAAATTAAAGAAGTTTTAAAGAAACTGAAAACAGAAAAAATGATCAGCAATATATAATAAGATCAACAAAAAAGAGATTTTTGTCATGAATTCAGTTCTAGTCCACAATGTTGGAGAGTGTCCATTGTTGAAGATGCACATAGACTTTAGAGCCTTTCATTTATTTGTCCTGCTATTTTTTTAATCAAAGTGATATAAAGGCTCAATTCTGATTCGCTGAATTTACTAATCAACCTCCAATCAAATACTTAAAACATGAACATCAGGTTAAACCCGGTCAAAACGTGTTTTTAAATTTGTGAAGATTTAGAGATATTACTTACTGAGAAAAATTATTTTTAATAGCTTATGCTAATATCAATAACAACTCAAATGAAAATGGGTAGCACTTTTTTTTCAGGAAGAAAGTTAGAATATGTATGGACTTATTTGAACATTATGTAGAAGATGTTAACATTATAGAACAGTTGCCTCAATCACTGGTATACATGATGGCAGATTATCCGTGAGTATGATAGCAAGTTCAGGGAGAAGTGTGAGTTAATACCGAGTCAATCACAGGTATACATGATGGCAGATTATCCGTGAGTATGATAGCAAGTTAAGGGAGAAGTGTGAGTTAATACCGAGTCAATCACAGGTATACATGATGGAAGGTTATCCGTGAGTATGATAGCAAGTTCAGGGAGAAGTGAGAGTTAATACCGGGTCAATCACAGGTATACATGATGGAAGATTATCCGTGAGTATGATAGCAAGTTCAGGGAGAAGTGTGAGTTAATACCGAGTCAATCACAGGTATACTTGATGGCAGATTATCCGTGAGTATGATAGCAAGTTCAGGGAGAAGTGTGAGTTAATACCGAATCAATCACAGGTATACATGGTGACAGATTATCTGTGAGTATGATAGCAAGTTCAGGGAGAAGTGTGAGTTAATACCGAGTCAGTCATATGTATACATGATGACAGATTATCAGTTTCAGGGAAGATTGTCAGTTAATTCTGAGGCAAGTTTTGATTGTGATTTGTTGTTATCATAATGAAACTTGTACATGAAGTTGTTAGAAAATGCAGTGGCAACAGTGGCGTAAACTATTTGTATAAAGCTTGAAAAAGACCTGGATACTTCATATCTGATGACTAAAGGGTTATGGTTTGATTGTAAATTTTGATTTTCTTGGTTTGGATTGTTTCTCAGATACTTTAAACAATAGGTTAACTACTGTATTTAGATCGGTGTATGGAATGATTGAAATATGTACATGTTCATCAGGCATGTTTCATCTTACCTTGACCTCATTTTAATGGTTCATTAGTTAATGTAGGTTTTTGTGGTAAGGTCTGTTTTTCAGATACTATATACAAAAGTGAACTATATTTGTTGTATGGAATGATTGTTAGATGTACATGTCTTTCTTGCAGGATTCATCTGACCTTGACTTCATTTTCATGGATCATTGATTATAATGTTAAGTAAATGTGATCCTGTAGGAAATTTGACCTTGATCTTTAAGACTTTCAACATAAAATTCAATCATGACTACTGGAGCATGCAAGATATTTTATTTTAGTATGTGCACTCTTGTTTATATCATTATGTATTTAACATCTGCTCTATAAAATATGTTCAAGAACACAATCAAGATTCAAATGAACATAAATGAGATAGTGAAATGAATAATGCTACATAAAAACTATATATATTATTGCATATTTTGCATGGTGATTTTTTTAAAGGCAGAACTATGTATTCTAGTGCGCTGGCACCTTTCGGGAAAAATTTAAGGTACCAAGACCAAAACTGCCTGTTTGTTGATTATTTAAAAGACCAAAACCGAATTTGTTTTATTTCAGTGATCATTATGAAAAAGGACCTTGGCAAGTTGAACTCTATGATCCTATATATAGCCATTTTATGTCACACTGCCCATGTCGCATAACACGATGGAATATATGGTATGCCAAAGTAAATGTCTCATCACAGTATCATTCTGAGCAATTCCTTAATAATAATGAGACAATTTCAGATGTAAGAGCTCAGAGGTGAGTAAATCTAAGTTGGTTTTTTTTTAGTATAGTAGTATGAGTACATTGCCCTCACCAATAACCATCCAGTTTATAAGGACAGAAAGCTTGAACATAGGCTCATTTTGATCATTGCCATCATCAATAAACATCCAGTTTATAAGGACAGAAAACTGGAGCATAAGCTCATTTTAATATTGTTCTTGCCAATAACCGTCCAGTTTATAAGGACAGAGAGCTTGAGCATAAGCTCATTTTGATATTGTTCTCACCAATAACTATCTCGTCGATGATTGCAAGTTCGTTATTCTTGCAAGTTCGTGACATTTGGGGTTTTCCACTTTATTCATGACGTCATGCATAATTATTTATCATCGGCAACATGCTACTTCAAAAAAAACTTAACCAGATATTTTTCATTGCATTTTCACTAATATCGGCTTCAAAAAGAGAAGTTGCATATGTTCTTGCATATTATTTGTTTAAACCTCTATTTCCACTATTATTGTTTATTCCTCTCCTAGAATGTCGTTGAATTTTTGGGAAAATCCTTTCAGCAATGTTATTGACATCTTAATAATGAGTCATCATCTATTTTTAGGTTATGTGGCGCTCTTTTTCCTTTTTTAAGGCCAAGCGTATTATTTTTTAAAGTCTATTTGAGTGGTTTGTTTAAGATCAGGAAATGATTTGATATATTTTGATAAAACATAACCTGCCGAATATTGGCTCGTAAAAGTAATTTATTCCTATGCCATTGAATGCAAATTGAAAAAATACTTTGATGCATTAATGACATTGTGACATTGTTATAGTTATCTTAAACATGTTTAAAGTGTTTAATTCTGGACTTTTCCAATTGACCATTGGAAGTCACGTGTAGAAATTAGAATAATTGTTGTAGGGAAAATAAAAAAGTTAGTATATCCAAATTTCTATTTTTTTCGAGATATTCATTTGTTATTTGATCTCAAATTTATTCTGTAATGTTCAAATACATAATACAATAGGCCTGACCTATATATTGTTGCACATGCACAAAAGCCACAGTACAATTCAAGGTTACGAAATTACAAGCATGTCTACTTGTTTCACGGAATTGGGTAACAATACGAAACATAGACAGATTGACCATGTTTCTGAAGTTATTCATCAATTAAGTGTATAAGACTGTTCGCAAATAAGTAATGTTTACATTCACATTAGATGATATTTGCTCCAAGGTTGTGATTTATTTCTTCCATTTCGAGTTAGGGTAACGAACTTCCAATCATCGAGGATCTAGTTTATAAGGACAGAAAGCTTCAGCATAAGCTCATTTTGATAATTGCCTTCATCAATAACCATCCAGTTTATAAGGACAGAGCTTGAGCATAAGCTAATTTTGATATTGTTCTTGACAATAACCATCCAGTTTATAAGGACAGAGAACTTGAGCATACACTCATTTTGATTATTTCCCTCATCAATAACCATCCGGTTTATAAGGACAGAGAACTTGAGCATAAGCTCATTTGGTAATTTCCCTCATCAATAACCATCCAGTTTATAAGGACAGAAATATAATATCTTTTAAATTACTCCTGCATAATTTATTTCATTTCACTTCTCTGGTTGAAAAAGCATACATTGCCTTTGATCAGGTGAGCTAAAAAGACTACTAATTCAAACTTTTAAAATCCAGTTTTTAAGGACAGAGCTAAAGCATAATCACATTTCAATGTTAAATGACCAGCTGACTTTAGTATCTTTTAACATGGATTTGTAATAATTGGTTTGTGGTTGTATTATCATCATTCATGAGGGGACCTCATTGGCCAAGTGGTCTAAGTAGTTGAACTACTGTATCACTAGCCTATCAACACTGAGGTTGTGAATTCGAATCCCGCACGTGGCAATTGTGCTCTGCTCCAATCTTAATCAACTGGGATTGTTACTTTTTCTACCAAAGGTCCATGGTTCTCTCCGGGCACTCCAGATTCCTCCACCAATAAAAACTGACCGCCACGAAATAGCACAATAGTGCTGAAAGTGGCTTTAAACACCAATCAATCATCATATGTGACAGACCTATAACCTTGAACTTTGGCTTCAAGTTTGAATTATTAGTCTTGTTACTTTGTTAATTGTTATTACTTTGGTCTTGATAAACAATCCTATATTACTCCAAGGGGCCAAAAGGGATTAGATTAAAACAATTTCAAAGACCTTCCTCTAAAGAACAAATATTGGAACCAAACTTGACATGTAGGTTCTTTTGATTGGCCCTTAACAAGTGTTGTTACTATTGTGCTATCAGTGGAGGTCAACAAATTTGCCAAATGGTCACACAATTAAGACAAATATGCTGTCAGGCAGACAAATATTGGCAACTCAATAGTCACAGTGTCTGGTAAACAAAAAAGTGTGATCTCTTATTTTGGAGCCAAAATCAAATTAAAAGCATGTTTAGATATCCCTTTTCTCTCCTCCATTGTTTTGATTAAACCTATTGTATCAGCTTAATTTTTCTTTTAAAAATTCATGATTTATTCTGTTAAAAATCCTAAATTCTTTGAAAACAATTTTGTTTTTATTTCTGCCTATTATGTTCTAAATACTGGATAAGGAGTGTTAATGTGAACTGTTTTCTGGGGGAAAACCAATAATTTTATTACTTACCTGACTGTTACTTTTAATAATTCGATGTTTGTTACTTTGATATTTAGAATTAATAATAAAGTAATGTTCTAGCCACCTATTATTATGAATGACATATTAGATTGTGATCATGAATTTTAATTTGTTTGAAATAGAAACCTGACTTGTAAAAATTTTGTACTTGGTAAAGAAATTCTTAAAATGCAAATATGGACACAAAATAATTTAATGCAATGCAAAATTGAAATGATGTGAGGCATAAGTGCTTTACACACTTGGGTCAATATCCCTAATGCACCTCAAATTGAGGAACCCAAAAGAAGTGCGTTCACAAAAAAATCTCTGTGCAGTGATATTGGACATGTTTCATTTTTTAACAAGTGACTGAGCTTAACCATTTGGGCTAATTTGGACAGAAGAGGACCATAGAATAAAGGTGTAAAAACTATGGAGTTATTAAATGTATGCAAAGAACTAAGTTTTCAAAGAACTTATTGTGTGAAAAAAAAGGTTTTTCTTACCTTAAGAGGAGCTGCATCACAAAAGGCATTTCGGGGTGTGCAAAATTATAGGAAAATGAATCTCACTTCGTACCCGGAAAATTTAACCACAAATGTGAAAATGTCTCAGCTTTGAAATGAGCCGTCATACATATCCAAGTTTACAATATGGGCAGTGGAATGGAGGAAAAGGCTGCCATTACTCCCTACCTGAAATGATTTACCTACTTGAAGCACACAAGTTCTCGAAAGAGTGAACTTAAAGTAGGATCTATGGTTTTAAGTCATAACATTATATTCCTGTGTTGTTTGTTGGATTTGCCTAATTTGTCTGTCCATTTTCATATATGGTATTCTGATTGCCTTAGCGTCTTAATTGTTTATACAATATATTCTATAATCAACTTGTTATTTCATCAAATTCTGATATCAATACTGATGTCTTTTCATATGCATATCGGTAAACGTATATGAATACTGAATATGGAAACATTTCTTACCCGCGAAATAAAGCCGTTTCCTCAAATAAATTAATGATAGATAAATCAATAATATAAAAATAAGAAGATGTGGTATGATTGCCAATGAAACAGCTCTCCACCAGAGACCAAATGACGTAGAAGTTGACAACTATAGGTCAGCATATGGCCTTCAACAATATTTATATATATATCTATATATACACACAGTAGAAAGATGCATTTCAGAAACAGCCAATGATAAAATTATAATAAATTTTATGGATGAAAAATTGCTTTATGTTTTTTCATTTTATTTTTATATGTGAAAATTAATTTTGACTTGTATTTCAGATGGGGTCTTGCTAACAAATTAGGATATGCTAATTTTGCCGACATGATCCAACACAGGTCCATGGCAGGAGGTGTTAATCATGTGATTGAAGTACTAGAAACGTAAGGAGAATTCTTAGTTAATTAGCCATTACAGTGTACGCTAGTTAGTAATCCTATTGTGGTATTTTATGCAGATCTGTACTGTTTAAATTATACCTCCAATCTAGGAGTGGGGCTATATTGCAATCTCATTGTCTGTCCATAAGCTCACCCTATTTACTTAATCTCTGTTTCCCATGACACACCAGTATTCTCCCAAGGCCTTTTTAGCTCTGCATTATTCAGTACTATCACACTTAATACCCGTATTCTCCCAAGGCCTTTTTAGTGCTGCATTATTCAGTGCTATCACACTTAATACCAGTGTTCTCCCAAGGACTGTTTAGCGCTGCATTATTTAGTGCTATCACATTTAAATGACAGACTGCCACTCTATCCAATCATATAACAGCGCTATTAATTTTTCATCTTTCAACTTTCCTGTGCTTATGTAAGATTTAGAATGGAAATGGGGAATATGTCAAAGAGACAACAACCTGACCAAAGAGCAGATCATTTTTCATTTTTATCACATGATCAATTGGTTGATTGTCAGAGATTTACCGAACAATGTCAAGTTAAATGAAAGAACAAAATGTCATCCGTGACGTACTTTTTACTGTCATAAAGACTTATTTCTTTCTCAAGTTTTCCATATAATAAAAAGAATAAAAAGATGCAAAAACTTCACAAAAGGGGTGAAAGAAATGGTTGGAAATTATTTTGAAGATATTTAAATAGGGTTTACACTTTTTGTGATGTGTTTGTGTCCCTCTTTTGAAGCCTCTACAATAATTTTTTTCATAATTGTTTAGTGATTTCAGCTAAACTGTTGAATCTGCATTGCTCCAGAGATGCATTCCAGTTGTCCATGGATTCTTTACAAGCCCTTATTTGATGTAAACTTGTCCTTGCTTTGCTATTAAAATGAGTTTCAAAACTTAGGTAGTAAAGATTTAAAAGGCTTGAAGTCGTATAAATAATGAAACATCTTTTTTAATTAATTTTTTGTCAATTTTGGTCTTAATGCAGGGTTTAAGTTGCTGTTGTTATGCATACATTTTTTTTAGTCCCTGAAAATAGAAAAAATATGTTATGAAATTAAATGCCAAAAAAGTTTCGTACAGGTAATTGCCAAATAGTATACTGCTTCTATTCCTTAAGTTAATATATTTTTTCCAGTAAATTTGACCAATAGCAAATTGTGACGTTCAGAGCTGTATTAAACAAATAGTTGTGGATGCATATATTTCATTTATGGAATTCAAAGTTTTATCATAAATTTTACAAACATGTTCAGTCAAGCATCCAAAAAAACGTCTCCTTATTAGTCCAACTAATATAAACCCTTTTCTCTGGTTCTAGAAAAAATGTTTGGTCAATAAATATGATTAATTGTTAAAAATAAAAGGCTTCTCTGCATCTAAGTTCATTTAATAGTACAACAATGCCGACTTGACAGAGAGCACCTTTTTTGTACTTGATTATAGATGAATACATTATCTAATTAAAATGTTTAATTTTCTGGATGAATTTGTAAATTGACATAAAAGATAACATGTAATATGTTGATTTCAATATTTCTATTATGTACAAATATAAATGTAAACATGGATGTGAAAAAGGGAGGACTGTTTTACTTAATAACCAGTTTTTGATTACTAATGGTGGTAGAAAACTTAAGAATAAGTTTTACAAAAGTTTTAGTGACCTTTCCAGTCAAGTTATAAACAGGGCATCATACTTTTGGACAACACTATTCTTTGGTTTGAATTGTTACTGAGGTCTGAAGCAAGGTAACATCTGAATCATTCAACCATGGATTTAACAAATGAGTTATTTTTGTTTTACAGACTTATTTCATTATTTAACGTCAGTTGGCACTGAACTTGAATTTCTGGAATAATATGAACAAAAAAATAACATACATTTGTAGTTATAAACTATCACAGACTTTCAGTGTAGTTTTTTGGGTTTTTTTTACGCGATAACACACTCAAAAACCACAGACAAACATGATAAAAAGATGATAATTTTTTTCCAAATTAGAAAAAATCAACATTTTGACAAAAATTTTCAATTCTTATAATAAGGAAACAGCGAAAGACTGAACTAAACACATAATTGACAAAGATTTCTGTAGATTTTCTTTTAATTCAAAAGTTTTTTGTAGAATTAAGACAGTGGCCTACCCATCAGCACAGCAAGAATTAGCCACACTACAGGATTATGCTAACAACAGAGAATTTTTTCAAGGAGATTTGAAAGTCTGGGATTATGCATATTACAAAACTCAAAGAGAGAAGGATATCGTTGGGTAAATACAACTAGTTCTTGTTTTCTAAGAAACTTGATAAAATCACAGTTTAACTGATTGTAATACTTATAGATAGGGATGAATAGATATAAGAATATGTGGTATGAGTGCCAATGAGACAACTCTCCATCCAAGTCAAAATTTAAAAAAGTAAACCATTATAGGTCAAAGTATTTAACTGCACCTGTATAGATCAATCTAATTAAATTTAGTTCTCCATACTTGCTCCCAATTTTCAATCGGTTTTTTATATGTCGTTTGTTAAACACAAACATAAACAACCAATCGAAAATGGGAAACAAGTGCAGAGAACTAATTCTAATAAGATTGTTAATTGATAAGATGGGAGTTATCTGTGATCATGTTCACGTGAAGTACATTTGAAATTGATTAAATTAAAGTGCAGTGTTTTTAAAGCCAATATGCATTCATATTAGAAAGCATATAACTCAATTTTAGACAGAAAAAGATCATAGATTAATATTTTCAATTACATTTACATTACATTCTCGACTATTACATTTTCTTCCCAAAATGAACACTTTAGAATGAGACGAAGTAGCTTTTTATTTAATGGTCAGTGCTGATATAGGTTTAATGCTTGAAAAAGCTTATGGAGTTGGTATTCTGTGAAATGTAGATTACTGAAATTTGATTTTTTACTTTAAAATTTTGATCACATTTATTTTTTTTTGTGCTTTTTTTTAAAGAGACTACTGAAAATGTATGATTTATGATTTCTAAAACCCTTTAACTTAAATGGATGATGCATAACATTAGTTTTAAAGTAGACATCATATGGCAACATATGAGCATATCAGCAGTTCATTCATTGGTATTTGTTATAAGATCATCTCATTCAAATTGACTGTGCTGTTGAACTCACCCCTATGCATGTAAACTATTATATGGCAAAGTCAATTGAAGTGATTGCTGTGTATAGATAATTTATCATAATTGATATGAAAATTCTATACTGATGGTATTATAATTCATGTAATTGGATTCAAAATCTTACAAGACACTAAACAAGGCACTGTAAATCAACTGATTTTTATGCATCACAAAGGGAACTTAGTATTTATTTATCATAAAGCCAATAATCATGATAATATGTCGTTTGCATTCAATAAACAAGATAAACTAGATGTAATATTGAATTTACTGAGATTGAAATTGTTGTTTTATTTCTATCTGCTAATTTATGAGATAATTTTCTCATGATGGTTAAAGGATTTTCTATTGATTTCACATGTCCATGTAACCTTGAATTATCAACGGGGAAATTATTATATAAAATGAAACACTTCTTCAATATTCTTATTGTTCACAAGTTCTAAGAGGTGTGATTTCATTTGATAAAACTGTTAGAAAAATACACGTGTGAATAAAAGCTATTTCTTGTGGTTTGTCAAGATAAGTCTAAAATGCATTAGATTTAATATCTTAAATAAATGTAGATATTAGCTCACCTGGCCCAGTATATATGTGTAATAATTTTATGCCCATTCTCTATCTGTCATTGTCTGTGGGTCTTTAGGTAGGTTACATTTTCATCATCTCCTCTGCAACTGCAAGACCAATTTGAACGCAAGAATAATATGTGTAAGTTCCTATATAAATTTACTCTTTTCATTCATTTTGGCTCTAAAAAAAACCTGGATGCTAGAGGCAATGTTTGCTTTTATTTATCCAACTTTCAAAAATCTCCAGTGAAACTAGCAGGTGAAAAGTTTTGAAACCTTGAGAGATTGATGATTAGAAAACCATAATGAATTTAAGATTCTTCTCTACTAATGATCCTCATTTAGTTTGCTGATATGAGAAACACGGTTGCCAAAGACAATCCTGTACCATGTTAACCCGAAAACTCCTAAAAACTTATTAAAAACCTTAGAACTGATAGATAATACTGGAAACTCTATTTTATATGGTTTAATACTGCTTATGTTGATAATAAACACTATAACTTTGAGATATGTAAGTCACTTGCACTCAATAAATGTACAATTTAACTTCAGAAATATTATTTTTGTGTCTCGAATGCCAGTTCCATGTACCGGTATAACAATATGGCGGATTTAATTACGGTATTCAGAAGGTTGATTACTTTATTTAAATAAAATATCTACCTTTTGAATAATTCGACCGCCATATTGTTATACAAGGAATTTGCATACAAGATACAAAAATCGTATTACTGAAGTTAAATTTTACTTTTATTGAGCAAAAGTGACATATATCTAAAAAAGGGTTTTGGGGTAAATTTTATCAGTTCTATGGTTTTTAATAAGCTTTTGGGAGTTTTCGGGATATTGTGGTACCAAAGGCCAATTTTGATTTTGATTGACCAGTTTCAAAAATATCTCCTTTGAAACTACAAGAAATCTCTTTTGAAATCTTAAGGGGTTGGTGATTTAACGCTCTACAAACTTTCTTCGTTTAATGTTAATTAGGTGGCAAACATGGCAGCATTACACAATTTTTACCAAACTTTTAAGGAATGATGTATGAAAAAAAAAATTCTTGTCATAAGTTATGCACATGATGAGAGGTGTTATTCCATTTGAATTAAGTTGAAACAAATACATACCATGTGTGAATAAGAATTATTAATTGTGGTTTGTCAAATAAATATGACAAGTCTTCAGTGCATTGGAGGTATCATCATAAAATGAATATAGATTATGTATGAGGTGAATAAAATGATGTTTTACTCATACCACATCTTCCTATATCTATTTACTTTAAAGATAAGGAAATCTTGCACTGAAATGGAGTACTAAAACATCAAATCTAATGTTGAAGGGCTGGAATAACCAAAACAAGATAAAGCTGGGGAAAGTTTCAGACTTTACAAAAGTTCTGTTACCATCTTAGTGTGTTAAAGGGGCATTAGCTGTCAAATTCATGTTCACCGATTTGACTCAAATTCTCATATTTGATTTATAACATACTAAAACGTATATCCAAATTACAATAAGTCAGAAATAAACAATTAACAATGCATGGACTCGATAATATAAATCAGCATTTCGTGTGTATTTTAGTCTAGACGCCATCTAATTAACCATCGAGATGACCTCCAAAGACTGCCGACTTTCACATAACCCAATATAAACAAACATAAATACAAATAGATAGCGACCTCGTGCAATTGGACTTTTCTAGGTCTGTTTGATTTCATGTTATAGGTTGAAAAAATAAGTTAATCATCTTTTTTACCTGTATAAAAGATTTTTTGTGGATCGAATCAGTCAATGAAATGGTATACCTTTGTTTCATTTTCAATGTTGACGTTCTTTTCCTTTTAATGGCTGAACACGACTAATACATGCGTAACCAATCTTAAGCTAATGGGTTAAATTGAAGGTCACATGAATACAGATTCAATGAGGTCGAATTATTCACTTGCAAGTGAATATATGTAATTCATCAACGATGTTTCTTAGCTTATTTTGACAAAATTGAACTAAACTTGCTGCTAAAAGCTTATTATTATTTCACTTTTTCAATTTCATTAATGATTGAACAAACAAAAAAATCATATTTTAATCATAACTTGTAGCTAATGCCCCTTTAAGTTGTATCTTTTTTATATATTTTAAATTTATTTTCTCTTTTGTCAGCCTTCTTTGTATATTTTGAACTAATTTTTGGTATCTTGTTATGTAATGAGTATTTCCAATTCGTGTTGGTGTACAACAGGTGTCAGCTATCATTTTGATATTGTGGTAAAATTTATATGAGAATGAAAAAAATTTTGGGTCGTATAATGCTATCATGTTGTTGTCGTCGTCGTCCGAAGACATTTGGTTTCTGGACAATAACTTTAGTTTTAGTGTATGGATCTCTATGAAATTTAACAAAAGGTTCAATACCACAAAAGGAAGGTTTGGAATGTTTTTGGGGGTGATGGTCCCAACCGTTTAGGAAAAAGGGGCCCAAAACAAGCATTTTTCTAGTTTCAGGACAATAACTTGTGTACAAGTATTGTGATTGATCTGAAATTGTATCACAAGGTTCAATACCACAAGTAGAAGGTTTGGGATTCATTTTGGGGTAGTTGCCAAAACCGTCCAGGAATTAGGGGCCAAAAAAGGTCTAAAACAAGCATTTTTGTATTTTCAGGCAATAACTTGTGTTTAAGTGTATCGATTTTTTTTAAATTGTACCATATTTTACAAATAGAAAATTTGTTCAAATGTTTTTTTTTTAAGGAGGGAGGGGGGGGGGGGGGGGGGGGCAAAAGAATTTTTTTTTGGGGGGGTCAATTTTTTTTTCCTCAAGATTTAAGAAATTTTCAATTTTCCAAAGAAAAATTGGGGGTCACAATTTATTTTGCTAATCTTTGTATATAGTCTGAAAACAGATTTACTAAGTATTGCGCAACAGCACAGTGTATTACACAAAAGCAAGAAATCTTCAATTGAATATAAATTCAAATCATATAACCAATTTCGAGTTCTTTGACTACATTTATTCTGTGTTAGAAACCTATAATGTGTCAAATATTTAATTACAATCCAAATTCAGACCTGTATCAAGCTTGAATATTGTGTCCATTTTTGCCCTTACTGTTCAGGGTTGGACCTCTGCGGTCGTATCCAGCTGGGCTAGGCGAAGCAGTTTATTATCAGATTGATGTGAGGGTTTACATATCAAAACTTTTAGGATTTCTACATATAATGAAAATTGTCAATGCAAAGTCTGCTACAGTTTACTTAGGAGTGGAACAAAAGTTTTCAAAATTGCTTCTCATCACATGTATTCTAGCCCTTAAATATTGATTATTTGATCAGGATAATTGTCCAATAGCCAAACATGGCCACTATGAACATAAATAAACTCATCATAGATACCAGGATTAAAATTGTGTACACCAGACACGCATTTCGTCTACAAAAGACTCGTCAGTGATGCTGGAATCAAAAGTTAAAACTTACGTAGAAGAAAATACAATAAAAAGCAGTCCAGAAAATGCACTTAACTCTAAAATA